CTTAGAGTGCTAGAAAACAAGCCACAGTGTCTAGGTATAGTACAAAGTCAGAATATAAAGCCATTGCAAATGCTATAGCAGAAATAATGTGTGATAACCTTACTTACTGAGTTAGGAGTCAAGAGGCCTAGAGCTGCTAAGATATGATGTGATAACCTTGGTGCTAAGTATCTGTCAGCAAATCCAGTGTTTTATGCCAGAACAAAATATATAGAAGTTGACTATCATTTCGTCAGAGAACGGGTAAGTCAAAAGCTTTTAGAAATTGATTTTGTATCAACTAATGATCAAGTTGCAGATGGGCTCACCAAGCCTTTGTCTGTGCGACTGTTGGAGAATTTCAAGAGCAACCTGAACCTTGCACGGTTTGGATTGAGAGAGGGTGTTAGATGATAAGGTTAGTTTGGATCTGGTTTAACCGATCCTATCACATGCGATAATGGCTGATCTGTTAGAGTTTGTTGCCTTATCCATTATCGCCTGTAATCCATCTCCTTGTAAGTCGGCTAGGTTTGTTGCCTAGCTGCGCAATTCTTTGCATTGCCACGGCATGGTTTTTCATGTCATATATATCAACACGAAGGCGACACACAGGATCAGTGCAATCGTTTCCACCAATACTTTCCACACGATCGTTTCCACCAATACTTTCCACACGATGTGCTGCTATGCCGAGGAGGAGGAGGTGGCCCGGTGTCACGTCAAGAAATTTAACCCAAATTTCTAGACTATTTTGTGTATTAAATCCCTATCCAGGACCAGCCAGGGTGCACAAAACGACAAGTAATATACAGTTCCAAACATAAATAAAGCGTAAAATACTTACAGAAGAGGCACTTAGTCCTCACACCGAAAGAGAACGACGACAGCGAAAAAAGGCGATCCTAGCGGGGCTTCAGCTCTACTCCACAGGCAAAACTCAACCGGGGTCTAAGCCTTGGTACTCTAACTTCGTCTTCAGCTCAGAAGCACTACACTTCTAAAAAGGGGGAACAATAGCATGGCTGAGTACAACCACAGTACTCAGCAAGCCACACCAATGATGTAGACGTGCAAGGAGATACAAGAACGGTTTGTCACTATTTGCATAGAGGCGGATGTAAAGCATTTTATTGAGTAAAACAGTAAAACTGTTGAGTGATCAAAGTAACATTGGATCTCCACCGATCAACGCTACACCACGTTGAACAGGCCCAACCAAACCACCTGAACTACACCAGTTCATTAACCAATTATTAAGGATGGGACTAATCACGGTGAATCTGGTCGATCGCCCATAACCGCGGGCACGGCTATTCGAATAGTTTTACTCTAGCCAGAGGTGCACAACTGTACCCACAAGACACAATCCACCGGCAAGTCACCATGCCTGCGCAGACACGTCACAATGTCGAGTGATTGTGACAAGACCCTTCGCATAACCCTCCCATAACCATCCACACCACGCTAAAGTTTCACCCCCACCCCCAACCCCGGAGGTGGGCAGTCCCCTCGTGCGCCGCGGTGAATCCGGCAACTGGACAACCGGACACCTCGGGCGACCCAACTCCATTACGCCCACCCTCGCCACTGGTGCCTAGGAAAGGGTCGAGCTATACTTCAGATCAAGCAGTTACCCACTCCCGCTTATGGTAAGCACTATATGTCTTCCAGGGTTTCCCGTGAACCGGTCCTTAATTATTGCCATGGGTGCGACAAGCAAAACCATGCACCCACAGCCCACCATTCAGTCGCATTTTAGTTGAATAATTACGACCATGAAACATGGCCGGATGCCTCGAGCACGCAGCTCATCAAGATACTAGATGTCTAATCATGTAATTATCCCATTTTGTGAGCTAGTGGTAATTAAGCATGGCTAAGCATATATGAGTCTAGCTAGGTCAACATAAGTAACACAAGCTAGTTGAATTATCACCCACGTTTAGCAAAGGACGGATATCAAGTAAACATGGCACAAGTGAGCAGATAGGTAATACCCGGATCCCATGTAATTAGCAAGACATGCAATTTTATTTCCAAATGATACAACATTTATAAATTAGGCTCAAAATGCTCAAGGGGAATGTGTGACTTTCCTTGATTCTTCAAACAATCTTCTGAACTCTTTTCCTCGCGACCGCGGACTTCCGAAATGGCGGAATCTACTCGCTGGCATGCAAAACTAGGAAAAACTCTAATAAACACCAAGTAAATAGTACATAAGAAGTAAACAAACATGTAGAGCTCAATTTTGGATGAATTTTGCAAGTTGAATGGCCCAATTTGAAGTTCGTATGAATTAGATACGAATTTTAGAAGTTTTGAGCCATTTTAATGTATTTATAGAATTAAACTCGACTTATTGCGCAATTATTATTTATTTTCTCAAAGGGTAAGTTAAGCGCTGACGTAAGCAAAGGACCGGCGCCGACAGACGGGCCCCACGCGTCAGCGGCACAAGGGGAGGGCACACGGTGGACACGGTCCACCGCGGTCGGGGCGGCACCATGGACCGAGACCACGGGAGTGGTCCACGGGCGGCCATGGGCAGGGTAGCCAAGGCACGGGTGTGGCCGAGACCGGCCCGGCCGAGCAGCGGCTAACAGCGGCAGCGGCCTGGCCGGACGGCCACCGGCGGCGGCGACACGGCATAGGACGGCCGGTGAAGGGGAGATAGAGGGAGAGGGAGGGGAGTGCTCACCGTGCTCACGCAACGGCGAGAAGGTGACGGGAAGGCGGCGGTGGCTCCTCGGGGTGGCACGGCAACGGCGGTCCGGCGGTATTCCGTGAGCGGGAACCGGCGGACGGCGGCCGGAAGGACCTGGGGAACAAGGAGGGAAGGTTAGGGTAGGGGAGGGAGTTGCGGCGCAGCGAGAAACGCCGACCAGAGGAGGAAGAGATGGTGAAACTCATCGGCGAGCGAGGGGAACCAAGTTCCGGTGGGATTCCGGTGACGGGGAGTGGTTGCCGAGGTAGCTCTCGCTCCTGTGAAGCCGAAGGAGGTGGTGGCATGGGTCGGCGTCGATCGAAGAGGCGACGCGACGCGGCCGGAGGCAGCAATGGCGGAGGTGCCTCGGGTACGCGTTGAAGGGGTGATTTCGGTGGCGGGAGGCGACAACCGAGCGGCGGCTGAGGCACGGTGGTGAGCGGCGGAGCGCGGGCTCGCACAGGAGAGGGCGCGAGGACCTCGGGGGAGGAGGGGGAAACAGAAGAGGACAGCACGGGGTGGCTTTTTATAGCGCGAGGGAGCAACGGGGAGCCGGGGAGCGGCGAATTTGGGGCGGCAACAGCCGGCGACGTGGAGCTCAACGTGAGCGGAGTGGGGGCTCGATTTGGCGCCAAAAATTGGGGAAAAGTGGGGGATTTGGTGGAGGGGGTGGAGGGGAACTGATCCCACGTGGTTTGGGCGCAAGGGCGCGAGCGGGAGAGGCCAGAATCGGGGGCGACATGGGCGGCAATGGCAGTTTCGGCTGGGGAGCTAGAGGTTGGGGGAGGAACCGACATGTGGGCCCCGACTGTCGGTGGCTTGGGGAGAGGAAGGAGCCAAGGGGGAGGCATTGCAGACTTGAGGGAGAGGGAGCCGAGCGGGCCAAGGGAGGGGAGGCCTGCCCGAGAGGGAGAGAATGGCCGGCCCGAGAAGGGAAAGAAAATTTTAATTCTCCCATTATTTCACTTGATCAAATTGCTTTAACTTTTATTTAATTTCTAGAAAATGCATTATGTAATGATTTTTAATCCTGAACGAAAATCGGGACGTTACACCCGGCTAGCGAGCTCGACGGGCTTGATGCATCTAGCCATGCGCTTCAGCAAAGGGATCAAGGAAGCTAGGGATAGAGATATACAGAGAGGGGAGGGAGAGTATGACAGGTGGGCCCTACCGATTTTTTAATAAAAAAATGCTGACTGGATTACCACGTAGGACCAAAACCACACCAGACTGAGTTAGGAGGATTATTTGTTCGGTTTCAATAGTTGAGTGTGTAAAATATCTGGTATTTAAGTGTAGAGGGATAATTCGGTCAACCACGATAGATCAAGGGGTAATTCGTACTTTTTTCCTAGAAATAATTACATTATGACTGAGTTGAAATAAGAACTATGTAGAGTAAATTCACAAGCAAAGTGCAGAGAAAATTTTTAAGTAAATGCATTTATGAAAGTAAATTCAATAAAGTATAAAAGTAATTTACATAAATCATAAAAACAACTTAGCACAAAATGGAAGTAAGTTGTTACACATTAGAGGTAAATTCGTTGTAGGGAGAAAAATATGGTATATCTAAAAATTAAATTTAGAGTCCACAAATTATATAATTGACTAAAAATAATAATAAGCATAATCAACTTAGAGCATTATAAATGTATAAGAAGTAATTTAATCAAATCTTAAATTAATTTATATATATGGTAAAAGTAACTTAAAAATATAATAAAATTTATTTACAAATATAAATATATTTTCATCATAATTTGATCATGTAATATCTTGTTACAAACTTAATAGTGTAATCGAATTGTAGATTGGATATGTAATTTAAGAGAAAATTTTATAGAAAGAAAAAAAAAAGACATGCATGCCTAATAAAAAAAAGGCATGCACGTGTATTAGTACTCCTCTCACATATGAGTGTCGCTCGTTAGAGTGTATCCTATGACACAATCTCTCGTGTGTGCACGCCGTAGCTAAAAAATATCACCAGAAATTCTTAAAAAAGAAATACATATGTAGTTCCAATAGTATTATATATACGTGTAAAATCGCATCAAGTTCATTCTATATAGAGAGTAAAAAAAAAGATAAAATTTTGATAGAATTATAACCTTAAAACTGCCTCTTTTTTTTCCAAAATATAATAAATTTTAGGTTGAGATTTTACACCTAATGCTACTGAAAGTATATGTATATTTTTTTTCTAGATATTTTGGAAGCGTTTGTTAGTTGACGTACACGGTGTGTACACGTGAGGGCTCGAGTGCACAAAATATTTCCTGCTCGTTAAATCTAAACTGAGAGGTTTCTCAAATTAGATTTTGTACTTCTCTTTGTATTGTAACCTGCGAATTTTTCGATACAGCTTGATTGTTAAAAATAGAAGTTAACTTTTGACCATCCCACATTCCCATTGTTTAAATTGGGTCCAAAGATCAGCAACCACAGAGCACATACGTGAGCTGGAATAGAGTCTAGGTCACATAACTGCCTAATTTTTTAAGCAGCCCAAAAAACACACTCAGGTCATCCCTTGCTTCAGTTGAAGAAGCACACTCAGGTCCATCCTTGCATCAGTTGAAGTCCCCTCCACCAAAATCAGCTTTTGAATGTTACAGGTTCAGCTGTCCCTCAGATCCCTTGTCACCCCCCACAGCACCCACTGGTTCCCTGTCACCTCCCACAGCATCCACAGGTCCCCTGTCACCTCCCACAGCACCCACAGGTCCCTTTTCTTCTGGAGCAAACTGAAACGAAAAGGATAACAGATTAGCATTGCATGTGACCTAAGATTAGTGGCGGATTCAAAAAATTTTATGAGCTGCCACTGAATACACATTATGAGCTGCCACTGAATACACATTAATCTTCTCTCTCCAGTGGCATATAGTTAAGTGCAAACCTAAAAGGGGTATTTGAACAATTGGCAAACGTAAAAGTGGCAAATAGTTAAATTTCCTGTGTTATCCCTAACATCACAGACAAGAAGCAGTGGCCAAAAGTTGACAAAGGTTTCAAGCTCCTGCCACCTGTGCCCAAGAAGAGAGGAATGGGTAGGCAGAGAAAGAATAGGATCCCATCTGCTCTTGAAAAGGGCAAAGGAAAGGCCACAAGGCAAGTTCAATGTCCAGACTGCCAACAGTTTGGATATAGGAAAGGTAGTGTAAGATGTGAACTGACTGGAACTAGGAAGAGGTTAGTTCAGCTATGATTTACTTTCTTTTAGCTATTGTACAATGTATTGCTTAACCTAACCAATGTTTTGCAGGAAGAGAAACAAGAAGACAAAAACAAATGTAGGAAGGAAGAGAGCAAAGGGTGCCATTGATGCCCAAGCTACTGCAGTTGATGTTCAAGCGAATACACGAAGAACAAGAGCAGCTGCAGCAAAAGAAGCAGCTGCAGAATCACAAGTGCATGCAACACAAACAAGCAGTCCTGGACCAATCAATAGGAGTTAAGGCATAATTGTGTTGTTTTTTCATTTCCTTTCACTTAACTTTGGTTCCTGTCTTGCTTACACCCATCAAAAACAACAGGAGGCTGGCATTAGAGGTAGGTCAAAGCTCCGTTGAAGTAGCACTTGTACCCGTGCAGGTGCAAGCAGCAGTACAGCCAACCAAGAAACTCACACCAAGGAAAAAACTAGCTAGCAAGCCAAAAAGTGCATCACCACCAAAGCTTCTGAAACAAAATGTGTCAATCTGCTATCAATCTGCAAGTATTTTGCTATGTATGGCTGAAATGCGTCAATCTGCAAGTATTTTGCTATTTATGTCTGAAATCATCAATCTGCAAGTAATCTGAACTTCTAATGTGCATCGCCTGATGATGTATTTTTGCTTTTGTAATGATGTATGTATGCCATGATGAACCTGTTATATGGCACCCTAAACCTGTTATATATAGACCATTGTATGGTCTGATGGCCCTGATGGACCTGTTATATATATAGACCAATGTATGGTCTGATGGACCTGTTATGCATGGCCTACTTTTGGAATAATGTGTGGCCTGCAATGAACCTATGAATTGTATGGCTGATGAATTAAGATATTTGGATGGGACGTGATGAATTAAGGCACTTCTGCTATTGTGTGCATGTTCAGTTTGTTGAGATATATGTATGGATATGTATGCTGACAAATATTAATCCTTGTGCATATATGTGTTGTCATCAACTTGTATATGTTATACATTGCCCAAAAAAATGTCATTGTTCTTGCAGTCCTATATATGTATGGTTTCAGTCAAATGAATTATACATTTAGCTAGTAGTAATAAGTTTATCATTTTGCCCAAATATTGTTTCAGATTCGGCTCTATATTGCAGCCAATTGCTACCAAGGGTATACTTGTCATTTCAGGTGCCTATTCCACGCTGGCAAGGCCATGTGGCTGTCTACAGTGCGAAAAGTGGCAAAAAAAATTAGAAAATCTTCTCTCTAGTGGCATATAGTTAATTGCAAACCTAAAAGGGGTATTTGAACAATTGGCAAACGTAAAAGTGGCAAATAGTTAAATTTCCTAGTAAAGGGTGATGTGACTTAAGGAGAGGAAAACAAGTATTGCTAAAAGTGGTGTGCTCGAGTAAAGTGTTGCCACTATTTAGTAAAAGGAGATGTAGAAGTAACAGTAAAAATTGCTTACATTGGGAAGAAGGAATATGGAATGCTCCAGCTTCATCATGTCTCTCTGAAACTGCAGGTGACTCTTAGCCAACATGTTTAACTCCCTTTGATACTCCAGAAAGAGGTCACTGATCTTCTGTTGAAAGTCGTAATGAGTTTTTGTCGCAGCCACACGGAACTCATCATTTTTTGATACGACCTGCGCTATCTTCCCATCAACATATGCCTCGACATCATGCCTTATGTACCTCGCGGCAATCCCACCAACCACTCCTGCGCCTGCACACAATGAGCCAATTGCCCATCCAACAGATTGCCAGCGATCGCACCATTCCCTGGCATCCTGAAAGAAGAGATCATATTGCCAACACATTACATATTGAAGCGATGGACATGGGATGCACGCCATGTAACTATAAGGGACACCCAGGAACGACATAATCGAAAATCCAAAGTTGGAAGCTATGCTTCACTACAAATTCCTATCTCATAAATTTCTCACTTTGGCGCATCAAGCGGCCAGCTTTCCAGAATGTTGTTTGCTAGTTGATAATGCACTGAACATCCTTAAAAAGGAAATTGAAGAAAAAATGGATTCACACATAAGTAATCCTAGAAATTCTGGTGAAGTCCTAGCCTAGAGGATGCTCAGCCAGATGAAATGCTAAGTGATGCACGCTTAAAGAAAAAGGACGTTCGCACGAGACGCACAAGGCATCAAAGAAACTGGCTTGATAAGAACCACAAGGGAGAGAACAGGGCAAATAAAAACATCAAAGGTATGTTGGTAACAAAACATTTGTATTCAAGTGCTATCATCAAATCCCAAGTTGTATTTGATTTTTTTTTCATTTATTTTCTTCTCAGCTACAAGAGCTTGCAAATTTGATAAGGTGTCAAACTAAACAACACCTTCACATTGGGGGGTTTTCTTTTTGTTTGAAAATGAACTGAATAAGAGTAAATTACATCTTGGGGCACTCTTTTTTGCCAATGTTGCAATTTGGACCAGGGGTAAACAATTTTTTTTCACTTTAAACCACCTATCTTTACCGGTTGTTTCAGTTTGGACTGTTTCTTCTACCTCTAGCTCCCCCTCTTTCTCCTCTCTCTCCACTCATGGGTAGGAAGAACCACCACTACAAGTGAGCAGGTTGAGCAGCCACCCACCAGTGCTGTGCTTGCGCTGGAACTCCGCCGGTACCAGCTTCAACGCCGGCACCAGCTTCGGCACAATGGTTGCACTTGACAGAAAAAAAGAAGAAAAAGGGCAGAAGAAATTCCTCATTGCCATGTGGATGTAATGATCGAGCTCAACTACCGCGCCGTGAATTCATATGTGATGTTGCTGGAGCACGTCATTGTTGGAGAAGAACCAGTATTGAACAGCACTGTGTTAAATCCGGCAAGCAAACGAGAAGAACAGAGAGTAACAAGAAATGGAGAGTTTCAGAGAAACAACGAAACGCACTAGCTTTGTGTGGCGATTTTCTGGGGTTTTCTCATTGAACTTATCTGTAAACTTACAAAATGGAAATCTACTTATACTCCAAAACAGAAAAAAGAATCCTAGGCCTAAATCGTGCCATCCCACGATCCGGAACTCCTGGACTCAACGTTGCGCATGCCGCACAAAACTCACGCCCACAACGCACGCTTGACGCAGTCGCCACAACCTGCAGCTCGCCACATCCCTCGTGCATGCATAACAAACTCCAAACGGATTTTATTCTTCCAGCCGTTGTCCACTGCCATCGACTGGATTGCTTCAGGGCCACAGCAGGATGACGATCTTAACAGTCATCTACAAGGAAAACATCGTTGTGATGCCCGACAACGTCCAATTTGTGCAACACCACGAGATGGCTGTCACCATGGCTGGGTTAGCTTATCCTGCATCATCCCCCTATAAGGGTCAAACCATGTACTAATTGGGGGCGATGTAGTACTGTGTTCACCCCAACAGCAGCAACCCCTATAGGAGTAGTGGCGCAGTTCATGATGGGGTTACCGCTCGCTGGCTTCGGTGATACGAGAAGAGAGAGAGAGAGAGAGAGAGAAATGACCTTGGAGGGAGAGAACTGAGGAGAAGAGGGAGCTGGTTAGCAGGAGGTAGAAGAACTAGCCTAACTTGCATCAACCGGTAAAGATAGGTGGTTTAAAGTGAAAATGTTTGTTTTTCCCTAGTCCAAGTTGCAACAATGGCAAGAAAAAGTGGTCTAAGATGCAATTTACTCACTGAATAATCTCCAAACAAATCGACCTTTGTTATGCAAAAGAGAAAAAGATATTATGCAAACCTTCAGCCATTTTCCTCCACCGTCCGGACCGGAGAAGAACGAGCCCCGTTTCTCAGCGAAGGAGGAGATCGGCCCCTGTAAAAAGGTATTAGAAATTAAGTTAGGTCTCTCACAAGTGGATTGAGGGGGAAGAATGGAGGGAGGGAGGGAGGAGAGGAAGATCTAGGTACCCCTGCGGCGCGCACGAAGGCTTTCCTCACGCTCGACATCGCCATGCGAAGGGAGGGTGACGGTGGCGGCGGCGGCAGAGGAGGACGACGGAGGAGACCAGCGGGAGGCCGAGGAGGGTGACGGTGGCGGCGGCGGCGGAGAGCGACGGAGGAGAAGCGGGAGCAGCTCCCGTGGCGGCGTCGAGATGAGGAGCAAAAGTGCAAAACCCTAAAACTCACAATTTTATGGCAAGGCTCCGCAGGCCGGGCGCTACATTTCTGCCGGCCCACGACCCACACAAAGCCCAATAAGCTGCCACGTTTTTTTCTTTTTCCCGCTGGTCTGCGCTCTCTCCTGTCGCGCACGTTCGCTAATGACGTGCTTAGCACTAATCGTGCTTAGCGCTAATGATGAATATCAAGCATACTTTTTTTTATAATACAATAATAAATAAACATTCTGAGAAGGTGTTAAATATAAGTTGAAAGTTTGAAATTTAGGGTTGAAAGTTTTCAATTTTTCATTCAAAGTTTAAGATTTTTAGTTGAAGTTAATTTCAAATTCAAATTGAAACTTTGATTATTCGAGTTGCAGTAACGACGCTAAACTATAGTTCAAATATAGTCATGATGAATATAGTTTTGATAAACATTTTTTTTCTAGCAACATGGTGCAAACCTTTAAAGAATTAGTACATCATGTGAGAGATATTGTTCTTCAAAGATTTTCTTTTTTAAAAAAATTTATACTCTCTACAGTACTGTCTATTATACGTTACTACAATCCCATTGCGATATTACTACAGGAGTGCAGTACGGACTATAAGGTTTACAGGAACATAGCATGTTACATATTTTCTTTTCTTAAGAGTGTTACTGTAAAAACATGTAAAAACATGTGGTAACAATCAAGTTGTCACATTATTACAATCCCATCGTGACATTATGCTAAGGTACAACGATGAAGTTACAACGATGATAATAAGTTTCGCGTGTTTTCTTTTAAGAAGGTTTAATGCATACTCCATCGTCCTTATCAAATAAAAATATGTTGAGCAATAATACTTTTACAAATCTATTATAATGGCCTTAGCATGAAGTGACGACGAAAATCATGTTTTGCAGTAAGATAATATTCACTCATAGTAATATAACCACCTGTAATAAAACACATCGCGTTTTGCAGAAATACAAGAAAGTCTATGCAGTAACATGGATATAAGCAGGTTGATTTGTGTATGTGTGCTTTGTAATCGAGCTAACACTACTGGAATATTTGCAGGCGGGCTAAAATGGGCTTCCCAGGCGGGCCGGTGTTCCGCCTGTAGGCAATCGCGTGTGAAGATCGGTTATCTTCCCAGGCGGGTGGCCGGTCCGCCTGGGAACGTCATCTTCCCAAGCGGAAGGGAGCTAGGAGGACCGCTTGGGAAGATATAAAAAACCCGCCCACGAAGATAGGATTTGACCGCCTGGGAAATTAGCAATAAGAATTGAAAATAGCCGCAATATTGTATTAATAATTTTTTGAATAATGTTGTAATTAATTAATTCATAATTAATGATAGTAACTAATAAACATTCAATACTGATATGTATTGCATTCAAAGTATCATACAAAAATTTGTACATTAGTTTATATTGTCCACTTCGAATACACACTATCATCTATAACTAATAAACACATCATGGCATCGCGTTATTCCACTCCCGAAGAACCTTATATTCATCGCTTGAAACCAGGATGCTGTCTGGGTCGAAAAACTTGCCTAAGACATGACAACACTCGCGGTAGATAAATTGCCTAAGACATGACAACACTCATGGTGGATGAATTGGCAAAGGTCCCGTTGCACATTTTTAATACTCATATCGTCGAATCCTTGTTCGACATTCAATTCTAGGCAACTGAAAGAACGATAGTACATTAGTACGATCTAGAAGTGTAGTTCTCCAATACACTTGTACGTTGAGTTGAGAGACTTACATCCTCTGCGTTAACCCTGTACCTCCCATTAACCCGGAGGAATTTGCTTGCGTAGTACCCGTAGATGATAGTGCCCTTAGGTTGCTTGTGACACTTCATGAGATAGAAGAAAGTAGTTAAATTTTGAAATGAGTAAAACTATTGAAATGCATTAAGTGAGTTAGTATTACGTACCGGCCAATACATATATACTAGAAGCTTCTCCCTTGTTTTTGTTTGTTCTCCACCCCTGAACTTGTAGTAGTTATACGCACTGTATGGAATTTTTTACCGTTTCGCATTAAGGACCGTTATTTAATTATAATACATTAATAGTAGGCATGCAAGTATGAGAATCACTTACTATTGTAAGATTTGTAGAAATTATTTATATGTCTTGTGAGAATAATCAAGGGGGTCCAAGACTGTCACTATGCCGGTCTTCGGGTAGATAATGAAACATATGTAATGATCGCTACATAATGGCGATGCAGTTAGTCACATATGAAATAACACAGGTATGTACAATGAAATATACTTGACTTACTTGAAGTTGTACGCAACCATGATGACTCTTATTTTGGAAGTGCAAGAAAGCTCGTCCAATATACTGTACGACAATAATCATCTTCTACTTGTGCAAGCTCTTCTTGTATTCCGCTATCTCTGTAGGAGTCTTGTCCTTGAGCTGCTCGGAGTTTGGTGATAGTCTCACGGTATGCTGAGTTTGACAGATCCTTGTTAGATCCAGAAATCCGATAGGTTTCCCTAAATTCTCAGCATCCATGTTTTGCATACTATAATAGCAATTTGTTAATAATTGATCACATACTTATTCATGCAATAAATAAACACTCATACTCACAAGCACCATGCAACAACGTAGTTTACATCCATCTTTTCTCGACGATGGATGGCGTGCAGATCATTGAAATCAAGCCAAATGAATCCTTCACAGGCTAAAGTTTTTGCCAGTGATCGAATTGTTAGATTAGTTAGGCCTTTCTTGCTGGCTTCCATGTACCATTTATGTAGCCTTATCTCCCATGGAGCCTCATCAAGTGCATAATCTGGCAGAAAAGCTTTTGTCGACGAGTGATACTCGCGGATCGGAAGAATAGGGTATTGGGGTACGTTGGAACAGGGATCTACGTAGTACGACATCAAAACAGACAAAAGACAAGGATTATACTAGTTCATGCTCCTTATCAGGTAATAGCTCTAGTCCAGTTTATATGGGATTGATGATGATGAGAACAGATTACAAAAAGAGTAACTGAATACGCGATGCCGATGAGATCGTAGTCGAGGAATTCGACGGCATCTCTCGGCGAGTTGGCTCCGTGGACTCCGGCTTCGTAAACTTTGGTGGGTGTGTTGGCGATGAGGTGCGATGCCCTTCGCCTCTCCCTAGGGGTCCCTTTTATATCGTGGGATACCTTGACCCTCAAGTAAGACTTGGAGATATGTAAACCGACACGATATACTAGAGATTTTACCCTTTCCAAGTAGGACTTCTCTAATCCCTTAACTTCGTGGAGATATTTTCCATAATTTGAGGTAAATTACTAACAGTGTATATGGGAACCAACCGTATACTTGAAGGTATACCTTATTGGTATATTTCATAAATTGTTGGATAGAAGGTATGCCTTATCCGTAACCCTGACAGTAGCCCCCGACTTCAACTTAAATGAATTCATGTCCTCGCATGCGACTTCTCCTAATAGAGCGTTGTCGTACTCGTTAGATCAATCTCGGTTATATAACCGTAGAGATATAGAGTTATCGATAACGCTCTTAGGGAGCCTATCTATGCGGGTTTTGAATTTAAATTGAAGTCTGAACAATGGTCCTCAATGGGCCTCAGAAATTTTCGGTGGCAATCTCTCCCCTTTCCTCGAAATGCGAACCGTCAAGTAGTGCGCTTATTTAATGGGATTTTGGGATCCATTTTGAGTCCGTTTACCAAAAAACTCTCATTGTTCCCCCGCTTCCCCGGACTCTACGTCTCCCTAATCTCCTGCGCCCTTCACCAGTGATCTTCTTCCGGCGATCCTCCCCCAATGGCGGACCTCGAGCAATCTTCCTCCGATGCCGCCACACTGAAGAAGCTGTACACCGAAGGAGCCATCCCTCCAAAGCAAACCATGGCGAGGGAGGCAGGAGGTACTGTTCATTCTCCCATTTTAGGTCGCATGGTAGCGGTAGAGGATTTCATCCGATGTGGCTTTCTACCTCCTCCTTCTGAATTCCTCTTGCTGATCTTAAACTTCTACGGGATTTCTCTTTTACACCTAAACCCCAACTCCATCGCTTTTCTGAGCATATTTGTTCATCTTTGCGAGGCCTACATTGGGGTAGTGCCTTTCCTTGATCTTTTCCACTTTTTCTATGAACTCTGGTGGATGGAACCCAATCGGGTTTCAGGATGTTGTGGATTCCGCCTTCGTGATGGCATGAAGGAGAGATACATCCCACTTCAATGCCACTCATCCCGGAGCTAGTGGAGGACGAGATGGTTCTACCTCGAAATAAAAGAACTCGACCCGGTTCTTATCGTACCCGAGGTTCAACCAGATCGCTCCGAGGACTAGACCTCCAAACCTCCGATGACGCCCTCTCTCCAAGCCTTTGTCGATATTGTGAGCGGTCTTCGCGAGCGAGGATGGACTGGCTATGAAGTCGTTGACGACTTCGTTAGTCGTCAGATCAACCGCTGCAAGCCCGCACTCACCCCGCATTCGACTACGCGGGAACCGAGGACGTAACTCGGATTTCTTCACGGGGTATTCATCCTTGCGTTGCACGTTATTCTTGCTCCTGATGTTGAAAACATAGACGAGATCTAACCGTACTTCCTTGCATCTTTTTTATTTCAGATCTTCCTGACGACACGGTGGCGCAGCGAGTCAGGGAGGTCCTGATCAGCGCGCTTTCCACGGCCGAAGAGGTGCCGGCCTCGCTTTGCGATAAGTCAGCGGCCGAGAAGGCTGCCGCCATCAATGTAAGCGAGAACCGGGACATCTCGTATCTCTGATTCCTTTGAAGGGCCAAAGTGACTTCAACCCTTGCAGATTTGGCCGTTGATGGATGTAATCGGTCCATTTGTCGATCACCAGGCTTCTGCTTCGCTGAAGGAGAAGGTCGACGACGAAGTCACCAAGGTCTCCTCCATTCCCGTCATCGCCGGGGGCAGCGGCACCAAGCGGAAGCCGTGGGCGAGATCGAGCGCTTCCATCGGTTCTCAGCAGAAGTCTGCCG